ATATTTTTTGCTTAAGTAACAATTAAAATGTATAAATATGATAAGTCAGGGCTGGTTGTGATGGGGTATTAGTGTTTATTTTTGTTTTCAACCGAAACAAATTTAAAATAATGTTAGATTTCTGTAGTCTTTCCTTAGTGCAATCTTATATTTATATTTTTTTCCACTGTGATTTATGTAAGAGAAAGACTGATAAACATTTATGTTTATACCATTAATGTTACATTAATGTGTATATTTTATTTGAAAATTATAAATAAAGTTATGTTATGCACAATTTTTTTTATTTCTTTCAATTAAATGCGTTATATTTTGAAATCTGAATATGTAACGACTGATTCCAGTAACTGTAACAATTGACCCCGCATATGGGGCCGGTTATAAATTGTATCATTTTACATTTTCCATTAATACAACCAAATTAGTTATATTATTAAATTATAAAAATAATTTCTATATTGTTGAAGCATGTGGCTATTGAAAAATATCTTTGCGGTATTTATTTAATTTATTAATTACATGTAAAAAATTCATAAAAAAATGTATCAACCAGCTCCTATTTGTATCAATTTTTACTTAAAAAAATATCTTACTAATATTTTATTAATTTGGTTATTATTATGATAATTAAATACATTACTGATTTTTAATTATGATTTAATTCTAAAGTAATGAGCTTATGAATTATAATGAATAAGAAAAATTTGTTGCATTACTTTTTGATCACTCATGAGTTACTAACCTGACATGTATACAAATTGCACACTTGTGCATACACGCGAGTCTCAGTATTCATCGACACGTTGCTCAAACTCGTCACGTGTCGTTGAAGTTTTTGCAGACAAAAGTCCGTTAGCTTATTCCTTGAAACATCAACAATGCAGAGAAAACACTTAATTATTATGCATACATGCTCACCGTTGTAGTTTTACGTAATTCATTCACTAAAAACTAGAAATTGTTTTGAGGATTATAATACTAAAAAAATGTTTACGACATGCCTGTAATAATTGGTAGTTTTTATTATACGCCTAGCAATTGAATTGTCAATTGCCTCGTGACAATATACTTTCCCATGTAAGAATATTTTTTAACTATGCAACTAATTTAAAACACTTATTTTCGTTACTCTCTTATTTACGGTAAAGAAAAAAAAGAAAGAGACAGAGAGAAAGGTGAGGGAATAAGTTTATCCGATAACGAATAATCTGGCAATGATACAAACCATATTATATATTATCTATATATAATTAATAATTATATGTATATGTATATTATATAATTATTAATTTGATATATGTAGGTACATATATATTTCATATAATTAATAATATAAATTTGCACGATTTTTGCTGTTTGGAAAAGAAGAGTAAATTTCCATAATTTTTAATGCGCTGAATCTATAAATACAAATGTTCTATCACGTCAGATTTTTGAGAAAAATGGGGTTGAAACACTTGAAAAATACATTTTTGGCTATTTTTGAAAATTTGTAATTGACGAATCCCCGATGTGCGAGAAGTTTCGAAAAGGGTTCAAATTAATGATTAAACTATTGTACTTTAATATAAAAATATTGAATCTATTACAGCTGATTTTGAATCTTTTGGAGCACTTTTTTTAGGAATGGATGTAGTCGCACACAATCAAGTAAAACGATTGCTCTATCTAATTCTAGTACTAATAGAAATTGCAAATAGTAAAAATTTCAATAAATTTGGTATATAAGGAATGGAAGATTATATTTCGTAAAAAAATATTTCATTAGTGCAAACAATTATTATTTAAACCATTTATAAAAAATAAAGATTTTCTAAAGAATTGATTGCGATATTCTATTGTACAGAAAGTTATGTAAAATTCATATATTATGAAATTTTTATGCACTGTTTTGTATATATTTGTGCAAAAAATAAGTCATCCAATTTTCTAACTCAGCTATATTTTTTGTAAACAACTCATTTGTAATTTGTAATTCAGCTATACTTATCAGGAGACGCGGTAGTGGTTTGGTGTCAAGTATTTAACTTAATAAAATATCATGTCATTATATGTCAAGCCATGCCGAGTCTCTTTACGTGAGCCGTCGCGTTGTGAGCACTCTCGATTATGAGATCTCAATAACGGTCGAACCGATTAAATTTCAAGTAGGTTTAATCGACAGCGTGGGTTCGATTTGTGTAATGAAAGTGTTTTTATTTTTTTTCTACGTGCCCTACGAGCGGAGATATTATTGCAATGCAAAGTCCGAAATGTAGGAATTTTAGATTAAGAACGTCATCGTCGTCGTCGTCGCCCTGTTGCGGGGTGGGGAAAGTGTACTTTTACAATTTCTGACGCAAGAGGCGCTAGAGCGCTAGGATTTCTAATCTTGCAGTCTCGCACGCATCGATCATATGTATATGTAATCGATCGATTGACGTGATAGTACAACAGATAAAACAGATCAGTGTGCGCTTAATGATTTTTTTATTACGATTGGTTTCTGTACTTAAATCCAAAAAATATAAATAAAAGTAAGAATCAA